GTCTGATGGACCAGTTTGCAGAGGTGCTCTTCTGTGAACAAGCATTGCTTTCGCTCTGCTGACGGTGTGGCTCAAAGAAGCTCTGCGCTCGCCAGGCTTCCCATCATCGCGTGTCTCCGATGAGCAGAAAGACACGTTCAGTCAACAAGTGCTCAGGTGAGATGAGTTCATCTGTGCCATTTGACCATTCTGGAGGGCAAATACTAGGGATGCACCGAATGTTTCGAATGATGTTTTTGATGTAATAGTAACCTGAGTGAGAGGCGCGCGCTTTATAAATGCAGCAAAAATGTCCACAGTGTGGGAGCACTTCAAAGTGTCCAAGAAAGAGGCAAAACGGCCGTTTGCAGACACGGTTCTGCTGAATTGTCCGAGTCCTGGCCACATACATAGCAGATCATGAACTGCCCGCGACATTCACCGCATACCAGTGGGTGTTAAATCGAGAACGTTCTCTCTCTTCTCGCCCCCTTTGAGCAGATATAAAAAGAAAATATAGCTGCGAGCAGCGATGGCGGGCCCAAGCCGGAGGCACCGCAACCCCGGTTCCTTTAGTTACCTAAAGGCACCCGGGTGGCGGTGCCGAAGGCTTTGGCCCTTTCATGATTAAATGTTAAAACGGCTTGCCATACTCTGTCATTTCGACTAGTCACAGTTATGTTACAGATATCTTAAATGATAATACAAACTATCCAAAGTGTAACGACTAGACAGAAAGACGTTGTTGATATCTACAATGTTAATTCCGGATAGGCAAACTTAGCTTTTAAATGTTAAAAGGGCTTGCCATACAGGGACGTGGGCTCAGAGAGAGGCTCACCATATTCAGACCAAAATATCTGACTTCCTCTTGGTCGAGCTAATGACTATGTATTAGAAAGTTGTACGGCTTGAGGAGTACAATGTATATACCGATTTTTGTAACTGTAGATAAAACTAACAACCCACTTTTAAGTATATATATGGTGCCTTTAGTGTTATTCTGCACGACGTGCAAAAACTTAACCCCCGCTTTTTTTAAGTATATATATATATATATTAGGGGTGGCACGGTACATGAAAAAACACCCGAACCGTTCGGTTCGCTTGTCTCGGTTCGGAGCGCGTGTGCGTCTCACGGTTCGACGCATGCGCAATGTAACCTCGTGCACGTATGTGACGTGTGTTTTCTTTTCGCGCGACATAAACTTGTTCGACTTGGACCGGCGCTCATCAATAACATCAATCTAGCGCGATTCGGCTCCGTATGCATTCATCACTTTCGCGGTATTTGATGTCATTACCGATCGCTCTGTGCAGCGCCGGTTCAAGTTAATAAACAAGCCAGTAAAAGTGGAGTATGGAGCGCTGCAGGTCACGGCACGCGGAGAAATGGCAAGTGGGAGAGATGAGGGAGTTGGAGGATGCGCCAGCGTCGTATAAGTCTATGGTATAAGTCCGGTGTGTGGGAACATTTTGGATTTCATGTTATGATATTTTAATTTAACTACAGTGGCACTTTATGTATAGATAAGAGCTTCAGTCATACGTTTCCAAACCCTGCACTTTAATTTTAAGTGGAAAAAAGTACCCTCACATTTTGGGAATAGAAGCATTGTTGATACTGTTTTTGTGTTGAGGTTGAATTTCAATTTCACTTTATGTTTATGGCCTTTGCTATTGCTATAGCTTAATTATCTATAGGCAATGAGGTTTCATGTATATTGACATTTAAAAGACAGTGTTTTAAGAGTTCCTCTCTTTTTCTTTTAAAAGATAGAATTTTGGTAAGAGCTACAAAAGTTAGCAGTTGATACATGAAAGTTAATTTCTTTGTGTAAATAAGATTTATGTGATAAAAATGCACAAGTTCTTGTAGAGATAGTGATACACATTCTCCTTTTTTGCCAAATAAACAAAAAGCATGTCAATTTCTTCTCTCTTGCTGTATCTAAATCTCACCTAGCTTTCCTCTGAGATAGTCCCAAAATGTGCTTAAAGTCAAAGAGTCAAATTCAGTTTGTGCATGATTGCATGAATATAATATATAATTTTTAATACTGTATCCTAAAGTGTGGATAATTAAGCTATATATCACATGCTGAAGTACATTTCTGGAGTGTTAAAGATTAAAAGAAAAAATAACAAGAACCGTACAGAACCGAAAACCGTGACCCTAAAACCGTGATACAAACCGAACCGTGGGTTTTGTGAACCGTGCCACCCTAATATATATATATATATATATGATATATATATATATATATATATAAGAGGGTTATTCTGCACGACGTGCAAAAACTTAACCTCCGCATTGACTGTCGAAGAGAAGTGTGCAGAAGAGCTTGCATCAGTGAGGGCTTTGCAAAATTTATATACATACAAACACACACACACACACACATATATAAATGAGGTTAGTGTTTTACAATATTAAGGAAAGCAAATGTATTGAAATATAGCACATTAATTTTAAATTCATTCAGCTTCAATTACCAATTTGTAGTTTACCAATTTATCTTACTTTTATTTAAAGCAAACTATACATTTAAAAGATTAGGGTTATATGCATATTTTGTCATTTAAAAAATACAAAATTGTTATGCAAAAAGATAAGGACTTGCAGAAAAAATCTACAGTCAGCCACACACACACACACACACACACACACATAAACGCAGACACCAGCAACCCCCCCCCTCCCTCTTCCCCACACAGACACTGATAGAGACAAGATACACATCCAAACTGCAATATCTGACTTTCTTTTGGTCTGAGCTTCTTACTGTTAATTAGAAAGTTGATCGGCTTGACAAGAACAATATACGTGGCATGTTTTGTAACTGTAGTAAAACGAGCAAAGTTAACACATTTTATGTGTCCTTTTTTAGTCATAAAATTATTTTCCTCGCCACGGCCAAACCGTTCGAGATATCAAAAATCCGTCCGGAATTGAGCATCCTCAATGTCTTGACTTCATGCACACCGAGTATGGTGGTGATTGGTAAACACATGCGTTGTAATTTGATGTATTTCTCCTAGGAGATTTATTCAAACAACACATAATTTCCAACTTCCATTTGAACTGTCTTAAAACTTAGAGCAGAGATGGGCGCAGGTCACGCAAGTCTCAAGTAAGTCTCAAGTCTTAACCGTCAAGTCTCAAGTAAGTCCCAAGTATTTTTTTTTGGGGGGGGGGCAAGTCAAGTCAAGTCACAGGCTATGTCAAGTCAAGTCAAGTCTTGTAGTAGGTTAAGTCAAGTGCAAGTCAAGTCACCTTATTATTTTAATTTTACATGCAGAATCTGATCTTAATAAAATGAAAAGACAAGATAAGTATTTGCCAGTAAATTACAATAATTTGCATTGTAAATACTCATGTTCAGTAAAATACACCATGGAATCAAACAAAATTGTAACTTCATAAAATTATTTATTTTTTACTTCTGCCAACAGTGTGTTTGAAATGTTTTAAATTTTCAACATTGAGTCCATAAAACAAATAACAGCTTAACATCCTACAGACTCTCTGAACACCTTCCTCTCTCTCAAACACAGTTTACAAACAATATTAAACTTTGTTACATTTCTCCTCTCTCTCTCTCTCTCTCTCTCTCTCTCTCTCTCTCTCTCTCTCTCTCTCTCTCTCTCTCTCTCTCTCTCTCTCTCTCTCACACACACACACACACACAGTGGCGGTTCTAGACCATTTCAACTGGGGGGGCCAAGCTGGGGCCAGTTGTACTGTTAGAGGGGCCAGTTACATTTAGACCTTATCATTTTCTGCACTGCACTGAAGGCATAAATAAGCAAAATACCATGTTTATAATTATCCAACAATTTGCATTTCCATTATATTTTTACATTTGCATTACATATATCAGTCTGTATTTGAATTTCCATTTTATTTTTTTACATTGAATATACAGTATGTATTTTTTTTACGATTTTTGTGGTTTTTTTTTTTTTTTTTTTTTTTTTTTTGCAAAAAGATCAGCAAATTATCCTCTAAACTGGCCTTTTTAGGGGGCTTTCCTCTCAGGGTGAATGAGCTTTTTTATAATTGTTTTTTTCCTGACATCTTTGAAAGACAGACGCAATAATTAATGCATCCTTGGCCAGGATATAATTATAAAATATGACATGATTTTAAAAGTGACCTATAAAATCGACTATGCAATACACTTTAATTTATCTAGTGCTAATAAAATTATTAAGCCTATTTGGAGAGAGAGATGTTTTAAAATCGACTATGCATTACACTTTAATTTATCTAGTGCTAATAAAATTATTAAGCCTATTTGGAGAGAGAGATGTTTATAATGTGACAATATGTCAGTCATCGTGATTCATGTAATAAGATGACTAGGCCTAGACTACTTGTTCTGAGCAGGTGTTGTCAGTGAACAGGCTGTAAAACTGTTGTCTAAGTTACAGACTGATACTAATTAAATGGGAAACGAATCGATTACCTAACGTAACCTCGGTTCTCTCTGAGGGAACGAGCATTGCGTAAGCTAGCTTACGCTACGGGAAAGATTCATCTTACATCAGTCAAGTTGTCATAGTTTTTGTCAAACAAGTTGTGAATTTGTTGTAACATTAAAACAGGAGATCATGACTTACTCCGTGCTCCAAGTGATGTTCGGAGCTCCAGTGATTAGTTTCATCTGTGGGACGGGTGAAGAAACTTTCGGAAGATGTTGTAACAGAATCATATGAACAATTCCAGGATATGCTTTTTTTCATTGGTTGTTGCGTTAAATTTTACCCAGATACAATAGTGCCCTTTTCTGATTGGCTATTAAGTAGCACTTCTCTTTTTTTGATTGGCTGATGCGTAGCAGGGTCGACTGCTGAACTCCAGGCGAGACGCGCTTGATTCTCACGTGAGAGCGGCGCGGCCAGAGCAATTGCGTATATTAAATATATTATTAATAGTTTTTTCCGCATGAGAAATACAATGTGTGACGGGAGTGTGAGACAAAAGACTGAAACGAGTGACTGTCATGCTCAATGCGTGACACACTATAAAAAAATATTTCACACTGACTCCACATTTAGGGGGGCCACAAGGGGGTCCAAGCTTGTTGTCGCAGGGGCACTGGCCCCCCCAGGCCCCCGCCTAGAACCGCCACTGCTCACACACACACACACACACACACACATACACACTT